GTTCGGGCCGTGGGGCCGCCAGCCGGCGGCACAGCTAGGCCTCTGCCGAGGCGTAGCACTGAGAGGAGGAGGACGGCGTGCGCCTGATGTCGCCAAAAGGTGCGCGCGTCCGCTGCCTCCGCCTTTTTTCTTTAGTGAGCCCGAACAGTGCTTGTGCTCGTTGCGTCGCCCCGTCGCCTCGGGCTCTCACTGTTTGGTTTTCTGCCAGGCACCTTCTCACTTAAACGCGATGAATTGCAATCCGCTCTGACTCTGGGCCAGGAGCACTTACACAAATCTGTGCGTCAGGATATACTCTCGCTGAAACAACGGATCTCTGAGGTTCAACAGGACGGCCTTTCGCCTGACTATGTTCGGCGGCTTGTCGAAAGGCCGCTTTCGGGTTTATGGGATGATTGTCAAAAGCTGGTCGATTCGCTTGTGTCAAAGGTGAATGAATTTATGTCTGACGTCCGCGAGCAAGTGGTGCTTGAGGCCCACACTCTGTTCCACAATTTGTCGGCCGACGTGGCCGTGTTGAGGGATTCTGCGGCGCTGGTGCAAAAGTATCGGCGCGCGGTCTGTGACACCTCTGCGCTGCAAGAACAGGTCGCGACCCATGACAGTGCTCTCCGACAGTTGACTGAGATGCTTGGGATGCGGGTCTCTGGGAATCCGAAAGTTATTACAGACGCTGTTAGTCGTGCGCTCCAGCTGTTCGTGGAGAGCGACGTCATAGCTGGGGCTGTGCGTGCTGAGCTGCTGCGGTCCCCTGCGCGTGACGACCCCGTTCATTTTGATCTCCTTCCGAGTCGTCTTCGTCCTGCTTCCGCCCTTCCGTCGTTCTCGGTGGGATCGTTTCTGATGATGAGAAGATGTGCGATGTTTGTGGAGGGCGGAAAGCACACCGTCATTCCCGCTTGACGTGCATCTGCATGCTGAGTGAGGTGACGAAGTGGACGATGTGATCGACGTCTCTGTGCTGCCGCCATTCCTCAGTGTCTCGGCGCAGTTCATTGTCCTGCCCTGGGACGTCCTTGGCCTCTCCTCCTTGGGCTGCCTCCCAGGTATTCTTGCTATTCGTGTGGCTTGCGCCTCCCGCGGTTTCGGTTCGTGCTCTTGGCGAGAGCGGCGGATCCAAGTAGATTCTGCCAGACAAGACGTCTTCCCTACGCTGGGCTCCTCCTCCTCCTCCCCCTCCTCCTCCTCCTCCTCCTCCTCCTCCTCCTCCTCCTCCTCCTCCTCCTCCTCCTCCTCCTCCTCCCCCTCTGAGCGTAGCCCTTTGGCTCAAGATCCGGCCCGTTTGGCTCAAGATCTGGCAAGGCAGCGGCTGTGCCGCGGATGATGCTGCCCATGGTCATGTCCAGGAGCGCCCTTACCGCAGCGCTTGCGGAGAGCTGCGGTGTGAAGAGGGCGTAATCAGCACGGTCTTGAGCACTCTCGCAAGCATTGCAATAAAAGAGGCGAGGAATAACGAACGTCAAGTTTGTCAACCTGCTAGTTGCGATGATCAAGACCCGCCAGAAGAAGGCGAACAAGGCTGCGAAGCGCGAGATCTTCGGCAGCGTGGTCATGGTGAAGGCGAAGCCGGCCAAAACCATTGTTAAGGCCGTCCCCGCGAAAGCCCTCAAGGATAAGGTTTGAGGTCTGTGGCGAGCCCCGCGAACGGATGCTCCACAGGTTCATTGTCTTGCTCCTCGTCCATCCATTCCTTCTCCGATCAATCTTCCAGTTGTAGGACGTTCTGCGACTGCGATCAAAATTGTGTACCCCTCCCCTCTGTTCTTTCTGCTTCGCCTCCTCCTCGTCCTCCTCCTCCTCCTCCTCCTCCTCCTCCTCCTCCTCCTCCTCCTCCAGAACGCGACCACAGCTGGGGGGGAGCAAGCGACGAGGCGACCGGGGGGGGGGAGGGCACGAGTGGCTCGATGCTCTCCCGCGCCTCTCGTGCCCCACGGCCCCGGTCGGAAGGGCCAGCCCCTCTTCAGAGAGGGGGGCGGCGCAGGGGCTGCCGCGCTGCCCCGCGGCGCGAGTCGCGAGGCTGGGCGGCCCGCAACCGCAGATTGCCTCCTCGGGGCTCTCGCCGAGGAAGCGCAGGGCATGGATCGAGGCGCGCGGGCTCGCGACGTGTCCCGCTTCCCGGCGCGATCGGCGCGCGCCGTCGCCAGATCGGGCGCACCGTCGCCACTGTTTACCCGCGGGGCCCCATCCCCGCTCCGTCGATCTGGCGCCCACGCGCCGGGTCCACGGATCCCAAGTCCACTTCGGCGTGCGCCCGGTCTCGTCGGGCCTCGTCGGTGCTCTGGCCTCGAGGTGCTCTCCAGCAGCTGCGCCTCGCCGAGGTCGTTCCTGGCGTGCCCGCTTCTTTCCGAGCGGCCGCGAGAGACCCGACGAATGATCCGAAAGCCGAGTAGCCATCGATCTTGGTCGATCCGATTCGATATCGGTTCTGGCCGGCTCGATCTGATTGGATTCCGATATTCTGGCGATTCGATGTGGCCCAGTGTGTGCATGGCGATGTTGCGCATCGTGGCGCAGCCGATCCGATTCGGTTTTGATTCAGTGCCGATGCCGTCCTATCCGACGCACATTCCGATTCGACCCGATTTCGCGATTCGATGGTGACAGATCCTGTCGGAGGTGAGGGGGTGAGATCGAAGTGGATCGGAGAGCCCCCCTACCGGGGAATCGATTTCGGTTTCGTGTTCGTGCGTGCCGTGCGGGCGGGCGAGGCGAAGCTGCGTGGGCGGGCGAGAGAAAGTCTCCTGTGGCTGAGGCGCGGCCGGACCAAATGTCTCCCTTCCGGGCGGCCGGGGGCGCGCGGTGTCCCGCCGGTGTCCCGCTGGTGTCCCGTGTGGCTGAGGCGCGGCCGGACCAAATGTCTCCCTTCCGGGCGGCCGGGGCCCCGCGGTGTCCCGCCGGTGTCCCGCGGTGTCCCGCCGGTGTCCCGCGGTGTCCCGCGGTGTCCCGCGGTGCCCGCGGTGTCCGCCGGTGTCCCGCGGTGTCCCGCGATGATGATGATGATGATGATGATGATGATGATGATGATGATGATGATGATGATGATGAGATGATGATGATGATGATGATGATGATGAGGTGATGATGGTGATGGTGGTGATGATGATGATGGTGATGATGATGATCATGATGATGATGATGATGTCATGATGATGATGATGATGATGATGATGGTGATGATGATGATGATGATGCTGCTGATGATGATGACGATGATGATGATGATGATGATATGAGGATGATGGTGTCCCGATGATGATGATGATGATGATGATGCTGCTGATGATGATGATGACGATGATGATGATGCTGATGGTGTCCCGATGATGAGGATGAGGATGATCATGATGATTATGATGATGATCATGATGATGACGATGATGGTGTAACGATGATGATGAGTATGATGATGTTGATGTTGATGATGCTGATTGTGATTGTGTCCCGATGATGATGATACTGATGATGATGAGGTTGATGATGAATATGGCGTCCCGATCATGATGATTATTATCATGGTGATGATGATGTTGATGATGATGGCGTGACGATGGTGATGATGATGATTGTGATGATGATGATGATGATGATGATGTTGATGCTGATGTTGGTAATGATGATGCTGGTGCCCAGATGATGACGATGATGATGCTGATGATGATGTTGATGATGATGATGTCGATGATGAGGATGAGATGATGATGATGGTGTCCCGATGAAGATGATGATGATGATAACGATGGTGATCATGATGGTGTCCCGATGATGATGATGCCGCTGATGATGATGACGATGATTGTGTCCCGATGTTGCTGATGATGATGATGCCGATGATGATGAGTGTGATGATGGTGATGATGATGATGGTGGTGTCCCGATGATGTTGATGACCGTGATGAAGATGATGTTGGCGTTGATGATGAAGACGGTGTCCCGATTATGATGATGTTGGTGATGATGATGTTGATGTTGTTGTTGTTGATGATGATGATGACGTTGATTGTGAGAGCGGTTGTGATATCGATCATGAGATCGGTAGTGAGACCGAATGTGATATCGATTGTGAGATCGATTGTGAGATCGATTGTGCGATCGATAGTCAGATCAATTGTGAGATAGATCGAGTGAGATCGATTGTGAGATCGATCGAGGGAGATCGATCGAGCGAGACCGATACTGAGATCGATAGTTAGATCGATAGTGAGACCGATCGAGTGAGACGTTGGTTCCTCCCCCCCCGAACCTCCTTATCACCCGAAGGGTGGTCGTATAGGTAATTATTATCGCAGGCGATTCGTCGCCCTCGGTACCCCAGTCCCTCCCCCAAACAACTAATCGGTTGGAGAGGAGGAAACTCGGGGATGGACGCCCCCCGATCGTGTGTCACTGGCACTGCTGGAACAGGGGAGTCTTATTTCGGACGGGGCCGTCGATGTCCAGCGAACTGGCGGAACAGAATCGAGCCAGGGGGAGGATGAGGTATGAGGATCAGGATGTGGAGGAATGAGAGGAGGAGACGGAGGAGAAGGAAGAGGACGAGGAGCATGAGGAGGAGGAGGAGGAGGATGAGAATTTAAATCCCTTTACGAGCACCACTTGGAGGGCAAGTCTGGTGCCAGCAGCCGCGGTAATTCCAGCTCCAACAGTGTATATTAAGATTGCTGCGGTTAAAAAGCTCGTAGTTGGATTTCTGCCGAGGACGACCGGTCCGCCGTCTGGGTAAGTATCTGGCTCGGCCTGGGCATCTTCTTGGCAGGCAGATGTGGACATGTGATTGAAGCAATTCCGATGCTACGTGCGAGGAGGAGGAGGAGGAGGCGGAATGGGAGGAGGAATGTGAGGAGGAAGGGAAGGAGGGGTGGGAGGTGGCTCGGAGTGGGAGGTGGCTCGGAGTGGGAGGAGGACAAGGAGGTGTTCTGCTTGAGGGAAGCTCGCCTGGGTCGAGCACCTCCCTGGCAGGGAGAAGCCGGGCTCTCCTGGTCCGTGCTGCTTGTGAGCCCGAGGTCCTGCCGCCGATGCGCCTGCAGCCGAGCCCGAAGCGTCTGCAGCAGAGGCACCCGCGGCTGATGCGCACGCGGCCGAGCCCGAGGCCGACCAGAGGGAGAGGAGGAGGATCGGTGGCGAACCCAGAGAGGATGGCAGAGGGGGCGGGCCTCCTGAGAAGGCCCGGGGCGCCTCGGGTCGTCTGAGAGGTTCTCTGAGCCTTCTCCGAAGACAGAGACGGCTTCTGAGAAGGCACGAGGGCTTCTGGAAGGCCCCGCCGCCCTCTGAGAAGGCCTGCCCCCTCTCACTTTCCCACTGGGCCCGCCGCCGAGGAGGACGAGGAGGACGAGGAGCAGCAGCACCACCACTACCAGCGCAGCAGAGTCAGTTGCAGCAGCAGATGGTCAGCGTTGTGCAACTATGAAAGCGTCGCGACATTGAGCTGGTTCTAGTGTCGACCATGATTTGTCGGGGCCAGCTCTCGGCAGCAGTAGTCGTAGTCAGGGTTTTTGCCACGTGGGCTAATGATGAACGTTCTGTCCGTAGGACTGGTTGCCACGGAAGTGTTCCATGGCCTGGTGATCTGATTCTGGGCACTCCACCATTCGACCGAGTCGGCTCGACTGCGCCGACGGTCTCGATTTGACGCGCCCCTCGCTCGGCCATAGTCGGCCGTCGGTCTGATATGGTGGGCGTTTCCATGGGCTACGACCGTTATCGAGTGGCCACCCTCTGTTACTTCAGCCATATCACCTTCGGAGTCGTGCTCCCTTGCGCGCGTGTGTTTCGCGCCTCTGGTCCCAGTCGGTCTTTCCTCGTTCGTTCGTTTGGCTCCCTGGTTAGCACCTGCACACGGGCAGAAGCAGGGAAGGAGGCTGACGAGCAGGAGGAGGGGTGGAAGGAGGAGGAGGAGGAGGAGGAAGAGGAGGAGGAGGAGGAGAAGGAAGAGGAGGAGGAGGAGGAGGAGGAGGAGGAGGAGGAGGAGGAAGAGGAGGAGAAGTAGACGGAACGTTTGGTAGCGGGGATGGGGGAGCGGTTGCGGAGAAGGAGGAGGAGGGTGGGGGGAAGGATCGGACGTGAGAACAGGGGAGGAGGAGGGAAGGGGGACAGGAGGAGAGTACGTGGGAAAGGCTGGGGAAGTCGCAGGAGGAGGAAGATGCAGATGAGTGGAGAAATTGAGAAAGAAGGGCAGGAAGAGAGACAGCTGGAGACAGAGCTGCCCAGGCAGAGTCCAAGCCCAAACCCGCCGACCCGAAGCCCAGCGAGGTCCCCTCCTTCGCCTCCATCCTGGAGAAGATGTGGGCCCCTTAGCGCATGTCGGTTGGGCGAGCCTTGCGCGCGTGCCCTCCTTGTCCTTCCCTTCCTCTTCTCCCCCCCCTTGGACAGGAGGGGGCTGCAAACTGCCTCTGACGGTGCCGCCACCCCCAAACAAGGGAAAGTTGGCCCCACAGCGCTCGCTGGCCCAATCACGCTTGATCTGTTCACTCGAGATGCGCAGACGGCGCTGGGTAGTTCACGCAGCAGACACTGGCAGTTGAGATGAGCAACCTTCCACCCAGATGCGATGGTCTTTCCCCTCTGTTCCTCTCCTTGCCCCGTGGTGCACTGTCCGGGATGTACCCGTCAGAATTTCTCTTCTAACAATGGCCATGGATTCTGGGTGTCTTTTCAGAAAACTAGAGTCTGGACTGGACCCTGGGTGTTTTCTTAGAGCTTCTCTTGCGCAAACGCTTCGTATATCTGAATCTGGACTACTGCTGAAGGGTACGATGATACGCTCGGAGTGAAGCTCATCTTTTCTTAGCTCCAACTCGAGCGACGCCCAAAGCGGGTTCGTCTGGGCCAGCAGTGGCGCGTAAGTTGCCCGCGTAAGGTCGCGCGTAAGCGCCTTCGTTTCCATCGTGGCGTGCCGCGCTGGTGGCTCGCGTCAGCCACCGCGTAACTTCGCATGCCATCTCGCGTAAGGCCCGCTTCTGTTCGTCGCCCGACTTTTTCAAATTCTGAGCAGGGGCGTATCGACCGAGTTCCACCGTGGCGTATCGATCGATGTCCCCCGTTTTGGGGATGCTGCGGCGGGCGTCTCGGGGCAGGCTCCCTCGTGCTCCGCGCCGCTGCCGCTCCGAGCGCAAACGCGCCGCCGTCGTCGAGGGCCTACACGTCTTCCTTGCCAGGCTCGGATGGACGTGCGGCGCCCGGGGCGGGGCCGGGAGCAGGGCCAGGACGGGGCCAGGACGCGGATGCAGTATAACACTTGCAGACGGTCTACGTCGGGAGTATCGGAGGGCGGGGGGTGAGATGGACGTGGAACGGGGAGCGCCCCCCCCCAGGAAGTTGGTCTCGAGTTCGGATTCGTGTCGCGCGTACGAGCGAGGCGAAGCTGCGTGGACAGTTGAGCCTCCTACGCCACTTGGGGAACCTGGAGCCCACTCATAGTCTAGGTTAGGCCAGACACGACCCACCTTGGCATCCACTAGTAATCCCCCCATCCCTGGAGCAACCGCCGCGCCGATCCCAGTCACAGCTTGAGGACCCTTCGGCTTCGTCGCGTATCCCTGGACCCGCCCTGCCGCATGGTGAGGCCCCTGGAGTTCCCTGGAAGCCCCCAGTGGTGCTGGAGAGGCCAGGGCCCAGGATAGCCCTGGCAAGGCATGGTTGCTTGTGTTCTGCCGCCTCCTGCGCAACATGGGGAGGAGGTCTTCTCGATGGCCACACGGTCAGGCACGTCGGGCGTTCCCTGAAATGCGACGACGTCAGAACTTCAGCATCGCGGAAGACAAACGTCCGCAAGTGTGGATCCCAACTTTCTAAGCGCGAAGGGTCTTTAATGCTGAGGATCCCCCCCGTAAGCTCTCGGCGGGAAGCAAAAGCTCGTCCTCCTCCTCCTCCTCCTCCTCCTCCTCCTCCTCCACCTTCCTCCTCCTTCTCCTCCCTCCTCCTCCGCCGCGGGGGAATCATTATCTTCCAATCAGATTGTGGGTCCCAACCCGTCAATGAGCCCGCTAACATATAAATTAGTTTCCCAATCTTGCCCTGGGATTTGTGAAAGACCCTTCGGGGTTACGGAATTTCTAGAGCCCCACCGATCTGTGAGGGTCCCGAACCCTGGGTCCCAACTGCCTGCGGGATATCTCGAGCCCCTGGCGTGGAACGGGCCCGCCCCCCCCGGCGCTCTGCACGGGCATCAGCATCGGGCGCGAAGTAATGGGGGGTAATAATTGGCGCGCTCCGAAAAGAGCTTCGCCTTCGAGGATCGAAGGAGTTGCCATCTCTTCTGCGGCGGAATGTGACGGAAGGTCGGTTGAAGGTCGGCGGAAGTAAACCGAGGCCGCCTCCAGCAGCGGAAGCCAGCGGAAGGCGGCAGAAGTAAAAGATGCGGCACCAAGAGATGACAACATTTTTGGGTTCAGGGTTTCGGCAATCGGCCAAAATGGGGGGGCAGCGATAGCTGCAGAAAAATTGCCCTCTAGGGCTCCGAAGGGGGCCCTTTCGGGCCCCAGAGGGAGCCTTCAGGGCCCTTCCAGGGCACATGGCTCCCTCCCTAATTAATCGCCCCCCTTTAATTCACGGCCAACGGCCCGACGGCGCGGAGTGCGCCTGCGGAGGGGGTGCTGCGCCGACCCTTGAAATCCCAGCGGACCCCCGACCTCCGCAAGCAGATGTTGGTGCAGATGCCTCCTCGTCTAGAACACAAACCAACATGCATAGACACTCTCAAGGCAAGGCAGCTGAAGGCCGCCCTGGTTTTTGAACGAGGGTTCTGACTTCTGCTGCGTTACCTTGAGATTGTCTATTCATCTTGGTTCTGAGGATCATCGGTCTGCATGGGCAACGCCTCGACGGCGCGGATTGTTCCTGCACCTCTTCCGCCTTCTCGGCCTGCGGAACCTGCCGCTCGGCGGCGCACCGTGAGGGGCGGGGCGAGGGGGGGTCTGGCTTCTGGAAGAAGGCTGAGCTTCCAGGAGGCCCCAGCGCCTTCTGAGAGGCCTTCCTTGACGAACGAACAACACACACACACCCATACCCATACCCATAATATGGATGGGTGCGTGTTGTTGGATGGGGGCCCACGTTCGAACGGGAGCCTCCCCCAGGGTCCGACAACCCGCACCCATGCTCATAGCCAGTCCTCATCCCTCCAACCCTCCTATGGGTATGGGTGTGTGTTGTTCGTTCGCAATTCCTCAGATGCCTCCGATCTCCGCTAAAACCCAAGCCACCCTGGGCATTTGCAGAGCAGCCTTGGGCGCGCCCTGGACAGTCCAGCCTTGTTGGATTTCTTATGTGTGGGGCTCCGGTTTCTGAAGGTCTTCGCTCGTAAGAGTGATTACTATCTGGGTGCTTCATCAGCCCTCTATAAATTCTAGACGCTTCGCGTAACCCCACCAGCCCATCCAGAAACGATGCCCAGAGGAATTGCCTCGATCAGGGAAGTGGGCAGCACACAGAGGACGGGTCCCCCAGTGGAGGCCTATTGGAGCGTCTGGGGTGTTCTTGTCTTGCGGACTGGGGACGTATTATACATTTCTCCACGGCCTCGCGTGCCGGGCCCCTTGGCCGCTGCCCCATGGATGCAGAGCATCTTTCTGGCGGATGCCCCGCGCGGAATGTATCTATGCGACCCTGTATCCACGGGATCGCGCCTTTGAATCCGGACAGCCAGGGCGTGCATATGGATGTGTTCGTCGCTTGTGATCCTCCTCTTCCGCTGCGCCCCGGGCCGCTGGCGGCAAGAGCGCTGGCCGCGGGCGCCGATGGGGGGGCCGGGCAGGCGCCGCAGCCAGGACCCCAGAGGCCAGCACATTGCACACCATGGTTTTGCAGATTCCACTTGGAGACAACGACTCATGGGTGATGCTTGGACCCACGTTTGGAGTTTTCGGGGTTGCGCCAACGTCTTGATTTATCAATGGTCCCCATTTTCGGGGCCCTGACGCAAGGCGGGCACTGAAGAACAAGCCCACCAGCGCCGCGAAGGAGTCGCAGAGTCAGGACTGGACGGCTGCTGCGCCGCCGCCGACGACTCGCCGCGGGGTAAGACAGGGATTTTGACTTAACTGGGCCCCCAGTTGTCCGACGATGTGATT